AAGGAAGGAAGGAAGGAAGGAAGGAAGGAAGGAAGGAAGGAAGGATGGAAGGAAGGACGGAAGGAAGGAAAAAGAAAGAGAACTTATGATCACAATTGAGGCCAAAATTTTGGTTGCTAATCAAGAGTGTTGTTAAATGCGTTTCACCACATTTTACAAGTTGGCCACTCCCACCCGGTCACATGACCGCCAAGCCACACCCACAAAATAGGCCACAGCTACAGAATAGGTACTAAAAAATTTGAAACGCATCACTGGTGTGTGTGTATGTATATGTATAAAAACAAATAGTAAATTTATAGAATGATTCCATTAACCTAACAGATCCAGACTCAATTCAATTGTAGTTGTATTTTCAGAACCCTGTATATTTTTTGCAAGAACTAAGAAGCCACTAATTCTGTTTCTCCAATAGATTAGGTCCATGCTGGCAATAGAATTCTGATAGAGGAAGTCTACAAAATTTCAAGTTGCCAAAGTTGAGAAACATTGGATTGACTAATCTTTTCCAATCCAATACCCTTCAGTTATATTGGATTTCAACTGCTGGCTGGTAATGATTGGAACTGTAGTTCAGTACTTCATTGTAAGTAGGCCCAATTAGAAAACTAGATTTACAATAACAAAGTTCCTTATGCCTTAAGGTGTTTCTAAGAAATATAGGATAAAGAAGTATACAAAGAAAATGTTCCCTGGTGTTGACAACTTGGAAAGCTTTTTTAAAGCATTTTGTTATTCCTCAACTATTGAATCATTTGAATTAACTTGCAGGATAATGTATTGTTAAGGAATCAAAATTCACTGGTATAATCACTTTGGAAAAAATAATGGCCATGAGTCATGAAAATATCTTTTTTAAAAGGAGGGACCTATTATACAAGTTTTTGTCGAGGATGTAGGAAAAAAGTAAATAGTTGGATTTTCTACTGATTTATGATTGTAACATTCTTAGTACAAGTAAGAAAAAATATGGCTATTTTCCAAAAAAACATAAAATGCTCATAAAATTGGAGACACTACATGTGTAGTATTGCAGAAAAACCTGCAAAAGTTTGATGCTGGATTGCATATAAAAATAACAATATAGTAAGGTAGTGTTTGAAAATGGAAGTGATGGTCATTTACTACAACTGTTAGAAGCTATTAGATTTTAAAAATAAATGGGAGATGATAACTTAGCTTTCTCTGCCTGCTCCAAAAAGAACTGATAATCTGATTTTCACTGCCACATATTTTAACTATTTTTATAACTCCAAGGAAATATAAAGTAAATAAATCTTTAACTCATAATACAGCACTCACTGAAGAAAAATATACCTTACTAATGCCTTTAGAAGTGAGATTTTCAGCCAAAAGCATCTATAATAATTGATTACTCTTTCTGACTATGGAAAGTACAACATTTAGCCCTTTAAAAATTTCTCTTAAATCTTTAAAATGAAAAAGAGCAATATAGGTAGTCCTTGATTTATGACCACAATCAGGACTACAATTTCTGTTGCTAAGCAAGGCAGGTTTTAAGTGGGTCCTGCCTGATTTATGACCTTTTCTATCATGGTTGTTAAGTGAACCACTGTTGTGGCCCGTCGACTGCCAGCAGAGCTAGTGGCAGAGTCTGATGAGTAGGAGGTTGAGGGCAGGCTTGGGCCGCTTTGGAGCCTTTGGAAGGCTCTGATAAGGAAGCAGCATAGAAGACAGAGGCATAGCCAGGGCCTTCTGTCCTACCCCAGGTGGAGAGGCAGCTGTCCTGAGCTGAGTGAGGGGGAGGAACAGAAGGAGCCCATCTCAGATGCTCAGAGTGGCAAGGAAAGGAGAGCAAAGGAAAACAATAAGCCGGCTCTCAGGGAAAGGCAGACGCAGACATTGCCAGCCCCTCCCTGCCTGGGAAATAAAGAGGAGGGGTTTGGGAGATGCCAGTTGTCACAAACAACCATTCGTTTCTATTGCACAGCAAGCAATTCGAATTCCTTGGCTAAACCCAGGTTTATTGGGACGAATTATGTTTGATACTTTGCTTAACCCCATGAAGAAAGGACTGTTACTGCCCTGTTATAAAAAAGGGTTTGCTTTACTCATGAGTAAATGGCTTATCGTTACTTGTGAAGGCTGGGTAAGAACAATCACTGCAATTCTTAAGTGAATTATACAATTGTTAAATAAATCTGATTTTGACTTTGATTTTGCTGGTTGGATGCCACGTGGGAAGGTCACAAATGGCAATCAAATGGCCCCTTAATTGCATATTTACATAATTACTATTAAAAACATGCCAGTTGCCAAGCACCTGAATTTTGATCATGTGACTAAGGGAATGCTGTGATGGTCATAAGTATGAGAACTGATTATAAGTTACTTTTTTCAGTGCCATTGTAACTTTGAACAGTCACTAAAGAGAAGGTTGTAAGTCGCAACTGCCTGTCCCTGAAACAATGCCTAGTATACAAGGAATAACATTTGAGACCACATGTTAGCTGCTCAAAAGTAAATGAAGAAGAAAGCTAAAAGATATGATACATCTAGAATGTAAATCTGCCTTCTATTATTCTGCTTCTGCATTGCCAGAGATGGGGAAGGTATTTTCAATGATTTTTCCTGACAAAAAGAGAACATATTCCTTATGAGCTAAAGGTGGAAGTTAAATGGCTTTTAAAGAAACTGCTGCACAACACTTTCTCAGTTTTTTTTATCAAGGGCTACTTAGTTTTAGTTTTAGTTTTGGTTTATTTGTATACTTATATCAGTTGACTGTGTTGGGAGGAATTTTAGCTAAGACCTAAGGAGAGATCCAAACAAACAAGTCCAGAGATCTTTCACGAGAAGAGTCCTCCACTCTTCTGTTCGTAACAGAATACCTTATGCCACCAGACTTGAAATGTTGGGCTTAGAACTTTGATCTGACTTAAGTGTAGTACATAAAATTATCTGCTACAATGTTCTACTTGTCAATGACTACTTTAGCTTCAACCACAACAACACACAAGCACACAATAGATACAAACTTATGGTAAACCACTCAAAAGTTGTTTGCAGAAAATACGACAGCCTCCAACAGCTCGAGTCCTAACCAAGGACCTAGGAACTGTTAAGGTAACATCGGCGGATATAAGTTGTTCCAAGTAGGGTGGTTTTTTGTAGAATCAGAATGTTCAAGTCCGATAAATTTAGAATTTTCAAATAGCGAGGTAGCCCTCTAGGTAGTGCTCCAAGGGCTCCAATTATANCTACCTGTCTTCCCCCACACCACTCTTCTGTCACCCCGATTTAAATCCTACATGTCCAGCTATTCTATACTGTGCATCTGATAATATGAGCTCCAGAGCACAAAACCTTGTAATAAGATTTGTCAGAAAAGGTACTAGTAGGTGACTGCTTATTTTTGTTTTATCAAACTAAAAAGTCACAAAGGGTTATAGTTTTCCTTTCTATGCTAAGATGTGAACCACTGCATTCCTGTTTGAATTATTGCAGTGGTTATTAAATTGAATCATTGTATGAATATGTTGTGCATGCCTGCCTTCCTTTTTTCTATTGTTCTATTTTTGGGTGACACATGTCATCATTCTTAGTGATGTGCAGATGGTAATCCTATAGCAGTATTCACTGTTGACAAATAAAGTCCTGGTTTTGATATTTTCTTGCAATGAACTACAGAGATACTGAGAGTCTGGCCAAGCTGCATTACATATGAGCTATTAAAATGATAAAGAAGTGGAGGAAGCATTGTCCTATGACCACCAGCTCCAGGATTTCATTTCCCTTTTATATTCTCATGCCAGTTGGCAGAGACAGATCTTAAGGTTTTTTGAAGACCAAGAGAGTAGAGTAAAATGTTTTAACAGGTGGGAGCAATGACAGAGAAGACTTGCTTCTGTTCCAGCCAATTGAAAATTTTAAATTGATGGAATCCTTAGCATACCCCCCAGCCAGATCACGTGGGATGATTTAATGTGATAGGGATGAGATGGTTCCTCAGATAACTTGTTCCCATATCATGAATGCTTTAAAGTTGTTAACTAACACCTTGAATTTAACCCAGAAGCAAATTGACAGCCACATTATTACTTCATATCACCACTGCATTGTTATATTAATACTAAATAGGTGATACTCATAAACATCAACAAAACCAACAAAGTAGGGAATGAGGGCTATATATTATCCTGGAGCAGAAACCTATTGTACTGTAATTCACAGCTCCAAATTACGTTTCTCTGTCAGTCTATCAGCTATCTACCAGCCAGGAAGGGGCACTAGGAGAAAGCGGGGCTGCCAAAAGCTCAACAGCAGCCAGGAACAAGGCATGAAAGAGTAGCCACCCAGCAGAACTGGGAGCGCCCCACTCCCCAGGTTGTGTGGGCCTGGAGGCAGCAGGGAGGTGGGAGTCAAGGCTTACCTGGGCACCTGCAACAGGTGGCAACCTGCCACCCACAGCTCTCAAAGGAAGGAGGCAGGGAAGCAAGCCCCAGGCCCCATCTCTGCTTCCTTCCTTAAGAGCTGGCTTCAGGGACAGCCAACCTCTCCCGCCACTGTGCCCTTCACTCACCTTCCACCCGGAGGCTGTGCTAGTGGGACTTCTCCCATTTCACCTCCAATAAGACTGGGTGTGGCAGAACATACAGCGAAGATGCATCCATGTCTACTATTACTATCACAGCAGGAGCAACAGCGGGGTAGCAGTGGTGGCTGGTCTCTGCTTCTGTGGGCATGGCTGTTCTCTGCTTCCTATGCTTTGCAGCCTGGCTGGAAATAAGCACTACTGAAGTGGCACTTCGCTTGCTGCAACTCAGAGCCCGGGGTGGTGGGAGTAGCACTGTCTGGTTTTGTGAAAGGCGGCTGCGGTCGGGCTGCCGCAGCTGATCCTCCACTGACCCCTAAAGAAGAGGAGGAGGCGGATGATTTGCTTGTGCAACCAATTATCCACCACCACTTCTTTAGGGGCCAGCAGAGGTTTGGCTGTGGCAGGCCGGCCCCGGCTGCTTTTCCCCAAACCCAGACAGCGTTACACCCACCTCCCCAGTGCCCGAGCTGCAGCAAGCAAAGTGCCACTTCAGAAGCACTTATCTCCAGCCAGGCTGCAAAGCACAGGAAGCAGAGAGCAACCATGCCCAGAGAAGGAGAGTCCAGCTGCCACCGCTGCTGTTACCCACTATTGCTGCTGGTGGTGATAGTAATTGTAGATATGAATGTATCCTCACTGTATGTTCCACCACACCCAGTCTCGTAGGAGGCAAAATGGGAGGTGTCCCACTGGCAGAGCCTCTGGGTGGAAGGCAAGTGAAGGGCTCAGTGATGGGAGAGGCTAGCCATCCCCGAAGCCAGCCCTTGAGGAAAGAGGCAGAGATGAGGCTTAGGGCTCACTTCTCTGCCTCCTTCCTCCAAGAGCTGCGGGGAAAACGAGGCTTCTTTGCCAGCCTCCCAGCTTGCAAAACAGAAATTTTCATCAACTGGAAGGTATGTCTGTGTGAGAGAGAGATGGGGGAGAGAAAGAAAGAGAAAGAGTAAGAGAGAAATAGAAAGGGAGGAAGGGAGAAAAAAGAGAGAGACAAAGATTGAAAGAGAAAGGGATAAAAAGAAACAAAGAGAAAGAGAAAGAAGGAAAGAGAAAGAAAGAAATTTGGAGAGAGAGAGACACAAGAAGGAAGGAAGGAAGGAAGGAAGGAAGTGGGAGAGAGAGACACAAGAAAGAAGGAANGTTTATTGTTTTATTGTCTTGTTCCCCCCCTTCCCTATGAATTGTGAGCCGCCCTGAGTCCCCTCAGGGAAAAGGGTGGCCTATAAATAAACAAATTCAAATTCAAATTCAAATGCAGGCCACTTCATACCTTTTCCAACAGCATGAACAACAGAAGGGCCAAAGCCTCGTATTTGAAATCCAAGTCCATCCACAGAATCAGGAATCTTAACTGTCCTTTAAGTAAGATAACACAATTAAGCATCTAATACCATTTCTTTTTATGCCTCAAATTTTACATAATATTAAATTAATATAATGTACTTAATTTTTTTAAAATAAAACACATTCAGTGCAAAAATAACCACTACTTTTAACATAAACTAGCAAGAAACTTTAAAAGTGAGATTTGCTTCTAGAAACCTAGATCATAGCTTTAAATATATTTTAGCTAATAATCAATATGTATATAGGCAGAATTCACTTAGCGACTGCCTTGTTTTGCATGCATTCATAATTATAACAGCATTGATAATGTGACTTTCTGACCAATTCTAAAATGTATGATTGTTGAGGTCACATGATCACCATTTACACACTTCATAAACAGGTTTTGACAAGCAGAATCACTGGAGAAGCAGGCAGTAAAATTGCAATCAGTCATGTGATGTCCTGCTTAACAACCAGTGGTGATTTGCTTAACAATTGAATAGTGATGTTGTAAGACCATCAAGATCAAGTGACATTTCATTTAGTGACCGTTTCACTTAGCAATCAAGATACCAGTCCCAATTGTGGCTGCCAAGCAAGAACTACCTATTCATTCTGAACAAATATTGGTATATCAAGCAAAAAGATAAAAAATGTTGTTTCTATATAATATGATAATTAAGAGTAACTGAGTGACAAATATAATAATTTATTGATATTTTGGTATTATTAAATGATTAATGGCAAAAGAACATTAAATAAATATATTGATGCCAGCTTCAGATGTGCTAGACTTTACCACATTAAAAAGAGTGATAATTAAAATCCACAGAGAGTCAAATTGTGGAAGGCAATTTTATAGCAAGAACTTAAATTTAAATCCAGAGACTAGTTTTTCCATCCAATGAAGTTATTCAGAACCACAGTAGAGAAAGAAAAAGCCATTCTATCTTACTTGTTTGCCACAAACAAGTAAGCATCTCCTGCACTATGCCCAGACTATGAAATGCATTCTTTGGAGTTGCATTTAAATCCCATTCAGTGAACAGCTAAGATATATTTCTTTTGTTCAGGTTTTAATTACTGACATTTCTGAATTGGTTCTAACTTACACATAGTAAACATTCAAATATATACCTTGCATTTTATTTGTGTTTAACTACCTTGAGTGCATAAAATTGAGGGGAAAGGTAGGATATTATCATTAAAATATATTTAAAAATTCATAATAATGTTTATGCCTATGATTCTGTAACATATTTTGGTTACTATTTTTATAATTTCTAAAATCAAAGAAACAACTTACTCCCTTGGTTTTGTGCTCACAAGTACCCTGAGGGGCTTTTTACTGTTTAAACATGCTTTCAGAAAGCTATCCACTTCAGTGAAGGGCCTTAGAAAAACTAGGTCACCATTAATGGTAAAGATCTTTTTCCCAATTTCTAGACCTGCCACCTAGATAAGAAAACAAAATACATATATAATCAATTAGCATCACCCATTATTATTATTTGCATGCACAGAGGAAAAGCTTCAAATATTTCCCATACACCTTAATTTACAACTGTGGAATTTATATAACTTTACAGAAAACACCTTTTGAAAAAAAAAAACTAATCCTAACAATTCAGTAAATCTCCTATTTATTATTACTATTATACAATTGTATCACAGCGGCCAGTTGTTTCGCCGGATTTGGCATTAGTTACTAATAGGGCCCAACCCAGGGGCCTAGGACGTCATAACGTATTTTTGTAATATGCGTGCAGATCCAAGCAGTGCGGATTTTTGCATTTGACTGATGGTGATTTTGTCAATTTTTAACTGTTTTAAATGTAATTACAGTGCTTTTGGAATAGCACCCAGTGTGCCAATTACCACTGGAATTACCACTGCTGGTTTGTGCCATAGTCGTTGAATTTCGATTTTTAAGTCCTGGTATTTTGCGATTTTTTCATGTTCCTTCTCAGCGACCCTGCTATCACCTGGTATTGCGATGTCTATGATTGTGACCTTATTTTTCTCAACCAGTGTGATGTCTGGTGTATTATGTGCCAAATAATATTATTTCTAAGATTTTTTCCCTCAACTTGACAGCTTTAAATTAATAGTGAATTAAATAGATTTACTCATCTATTTACCAACACTTCATTTAATAAAATGTCTGGTTTAAATAAGCAGTAAGTTTGTAAATAAATCCAGTTTCGATTGCAGCACTAATCTCGTTTCACAAAAATGCAGAAGGTTAGATCAAATTTTAAACATATATTCCGCTTTCCAACTGCATATACACAATGTATACATGGTGAAAAATGTTATTTATTATTTTTAATTTATTTATTATTTTTGAGATTCACATAGCCACTTCTTGAGAAGGAAGAAATTAACTCTTCTAATTAGGAACAGCCAGAACCTCAGGTATTTAATGGAATCTACAAGGCTTTCTTCCTTGTAATAAACGTCCTCTTGTTTACAGACCTATATTTCTTTGACATCTCATTCCTGGTTTCTCCTGACTACCATTTTCATATAGTATTTTGTTTTAAAGAGTGTAATTTCTGATTGGGAACAGCAAGTAACTCCACAACTTTTTCTTTCCATTGAATTTTTGGGGGGGGGGCACAGGACTCAATAATATGTTAATTTTTTTAACGCGGTGGCTCAGTGGCTAAGATGCTGAGCTTGTCGATCAGAAAGGTCAGCAGTTCGGCGGTTCAAATCCCTATTACTTGCTCCAGCTTCTGCCAAACTAGCAGTTTGAAAGCATGTAAAAATGCAAGTAGAAAAATATGGAACAGTTTGGTGGGAATGTAACAATGTTCTGTGCACCTTCGGCGTTTAGTTATGCCGGCTACATGACCATGAAATTGCCACTGCTGGCTCTTCAGCTTAGAAAAGGAGATGAGCACCGCCCCCTAGAATCGAGAACAACTAGAATGCATGTGCGAGGGGTACTTTCTACCTTTATGCTTTCAGTAGGTCAAGTGTTAAGAAATTGGTCTCCCTCAGATGCAGAAGAGGATGGTGCTTACACTTTTCTCAAATCTGGTCCTATAAGGCTCAAACAGTCCCAAACCTCCTTGCTTTCCAGAGAGCAATTAATATATGGCTTTTTCTTTGGAGATATGGTAAAGAGCGGTGATGAATCTTGCATTTGTAATTCTGCAGTGAGATTATTATGACACTTGCTTGAAAGATTTTGTAATTGTTTTTGTGATTTTTATTAACCTAATCGTTATCTGTGCAGTTATTTTAAATAATATAAGTGGGTAACAATTTTTCATTATATGCCTACATAGAGGTATAATTCTTTCAGGAAATATAAAAGGCCTTAGATATAAGAAGAGACAATTCTTTATTAGACATGTAACTGAAAACCTTAAGTTCTTTTTCCTAATAAGAAACTCATATTCTTCCACTTTTTTTTTTATGAAGAAGATTGGTAGATCATTTCTGTATTATTATTAAGTCAATATCTGCTAGGAAAATGGTGACTTTGATTAATAGTTTACATTCCAGTTTCAAAATGTAAACTGGAACAACAAATTAGTAATTCAAAAGGATATGTTTTAATATTGTTAATTTAATGTTCTAACAATCACATAAGATTTATTCATTTTAATAGCCCTACTAAAGACTTTCCAAATATGGGGGAGGCAATAGAAGATGCTACATTTTTTAATATTATTGATAGATCAGATAATCCTGACTAAACGTTTTAATAAGTATTCTGTGCTAGACTATAACCATTCCCCAAGCAACGTTAATTTATTGTAATGTGCTTATCCATGAACTACTTTTAAGTAGCCATATATAAAATTCTATTGCACAAATGTATTTCTTATTCTTCAAAAATGATTCTCAAAGTTATGCATCTAGGTAACCTTTAAAAAATCACCTGCAATATGTAGACTTATACACAGCAATTTTTTCAGATCTTAATCTTCACACGCCTAATAATTCTCTATAGTTCTTTATAATTCTTACCCTAAATGTTAAGAGTAATGTTTCTTTCAATAACATTAAGATATCAAAGTTAGGAAATTACAAATATTAACTTTCTGTAAGCTTAAACGCCAGGAAGTGTAAATTATTTTGATAATAATTCTCTGTACAGCACTCTTAAGCACTATTTTTGCAGCCCCTAAAAAGGCATTCTAATCATTGTTGCTGAAAATCAGGAGCATACCTACCCTTATTTTGAGGTAGAAAAGGTGAAAAAAATATAATGTAAGCCCCAAGTAGAATGGAATGGAATGGAATGGAATAGAATGGAATAGAATAGAATAGAATAATTTATTGGCCAAGTGTGATTAGACACACAAGGAATTTGTCTTTGGTGCATATGCTTTCAGTGTATATAAAAGAAAAGACATTTGTAACAAATCATAATGATAGTCATAGGTACAAATAAGCAATCAAATCATACTAGGAAACAATCAATATAAATCGTAAGGATACAAGCAACAAGGTTAAAGTCATACAGTCATAAATGGGAGAAGATGGGTGACAGGAATGATGAGAAGATTAATACTAGTGCAAACTTAGTAAATAGTTTGACAGTGTTGAGGGAATTATTTGTTCCACAGAGTGATGGCGTGCAGGAAAAAACTGTTCTAGTTGTTCTGGTGTGCGGTGCTCTATAACATCGTTTTGAGGATAGGAGTTGAAACAATTTATGTCCAGGATGTGAGGGGTCTATAAATAAATAGGTTTAACATAATTTAAACGAAAACATTAAAACTCTGATGCAAAAAACTGAAAATTCCAGCCCTGCTAGGTATCAGGGCCGTATCCAGTGTTGGCCATAACTGGATTTTCACAATATGCTATGCTGAAATTTTAAAAAAAGAAAAACAGTATGACTTAATTGCATTGTATGAAATCATCCATACTGTATGCTTTTAATTTCTACATGATTAAAGCAATACAAATATTTATATTTTACAAATTCTGTGGGATAGTCTTTAATAATTTACACACATGCACAATCAATTACACACATAAATCAATTAAAATTATTAAAGTAAAACTTTATAATTTAAATAATTGTCAAAAGACCTGAAATTTTCTATGAGCAGAAATGTAATAATTGGGAGAGTTATGAACGTGTATTACCTCAGCATTTGAGCACTTTTCCACTATTTTCACAATTGGTGCTTTGTTTTTGTCTTCCAAACCAAAACCATAACTTCCATCACTTGATCTGATCTGAAAAAAGGAAAAAAAATTAAATCAATATGCTGAATAGGTGTGGCTGACAGGCAACTGTTACTACTATAAAATTGTTGCCACTGTGAACATTACATCTGCCAAATTAATTCATCTGCAAAAGCTGTGACATTAATCATATACATTTATTTGAGCATTGTATGAATATTTAACCAATACACACTAACTTTGAACCCTATAAAATACCTATATGTTGTACTCCAGTTAATATATATTTTCCTCACAAAACTAAAGAGTATAAAACAGCAAGACAGGTCTAGGGGATTTAAGTTGATGGATAGCATGGATCTGAAAAAACTACAAATTATAACATTGTCTATGTGCAAATAATAGGAGTTAGCATCAAAATCAAACAAACAAACATAGAGACTTATTTTTTAAAAAACTTACCAGCAACGATTTTGCAATTACATTTTCCACTACTTTTAAGTCATGCTTCATAAGTCTGTGTTTCATGTTGGAGCCTTCCATTTCTTCATCCGCAAAAAAACGGAATAAAAGTGGTTCATCTTTGAATTCACTTTTTTCCAGAACTATTTGACAGAGAAAGGGTTAATATTTGTGTATCACCTATAGACATATTGATTTATAATTCAACTAAAATTTTATTTACTATATGATTTATTAAATAACTGCAACTTCCAATCCAAACTCAGCTGTCTGATAAACTCCTTATCTCTTAATAATTCCCACTTCAGTGAAAGGAAGGAGATATACCTCAGAAACAATTATTTTCTATTAATAGTCCATATATTAAGGAATATTTTCCTCCTGAACGTGTTATACGGTTATGTAAGTTATTTTATGTTATTAACTTTAGGAGTCTTCAAGGATTATTAACTAATAAATCAGTAGTGTTGTATTTTTCACAACTATTAGCAAGTAATTTTACAAAGAAAACACTGTAGAATTTTATGATTAGCAAGAATGAACTCTTATCTGTAATCTGTACAGGTATTCTTTACTTGTACTCTATCTGTAATTTGTACTGGTATTCTAAAGAGGTTTTTAATTAGGTAGTACTTTTTAAAGCTATAACTCACCGAACAAAAGTTCTAGTAACAAACCAATACATGCTACGTACTGCAAATCCTAGGAAAATTATTTATCACAGTATTAATATGAGATATTAAAGTCAGAATATTTATATTAAAAACCATTTTTAAAACTTATATAAATTTATAGTTTACCATGATGCATAAATCCATTGTCACAAAGTGCTATTCCAAAGATCATTGCTTCTTCTCTTGTTCTGCAATCCCCCTGCACATAAATTTATTAATATAAAAATAAACATGGCCATTATTTAAAATAATTTCTATATTTTGGTTTTTATATGCCCACTATTTTTATTTAGAATATAAGTGACAATAAATTTATAAGTTAATACTTGGTATTTTGTATTTATTTTGGTATTAAAATAAAATATAGTATAATATAATCTAACTTTTTTTTTAAAAAAAATGAGCAGATAAGTAGAAGAATGCTTAATACTTTAAAGTCGTTCAAAACATACCAGGACTCAGTTGACCAATAATACCAAAATATTTGTATCTTATTTAATGTATAAAAGCAAAATTATATGACATATAAAAATGTTAATCTCAAAATAAATTTACATTTATTTCATGTTACTAATCAAATTTATATACTTTGGTGCACTGTCTTACCTGTGCAATTAGCCAGTCTATCATTTTATTAGCCATTATGACAGATTTATAGGTTCTTAAATGGTAATCCTTATCTCTGAGGAGAAAAAACATAAAATAGTTCATCCTCAAAATATATATTCTACAAAAGCTGAATACCCATATATTATACCCCAAATATAACCTAAGTGATTCCTTATCTATTTAAAATTATTTCTGTTTGCATTACTTTGTAATAATAATGCTTTATTTTAGTTACAGTTCTGTGCATTTTGGACTATGTTTAAAGTATATTACAAAATCAAACCTCTCATATATCTCCGAAACTAGCCTTTTTATTTATGAAATTACCTTGATGAGGGACTAAAAGAAAACATTACAACATAACATTGGATGTTATACATCATGAATGTTTCCATATGCAATTTGTGTCTTCTGGAACTGTATCTTTTAACACTCCTACTTTTTTTCTCCTATCTCCACATATAAATATCGACACAGACACAAAACACAAAACCTCAAGTACTATTAAGGAAAATTAAAATAGTAATACATCTTTAATATTCTTGCTGGGCTGATTAATTAGATTTATACCCTGCCTTTCCTGCACAAATTCAAGTTGGCTTATTTAGAATCTTCCTTCATTTTATTCCTTTAGCAGGCCTGTAAGATAGGTTGGACTAAGAGAGATGATGATTTCTCCAAAGTCATTTAATGAATGGCTGAATATGAAAATTGACAGTTTGAAGAAACAATTATCTATACATAACAGGAAGCAGAAATCCAGTAGTTGAACTTTTGTTCAGAATGAAGATGTAATTTTATTGCTAAAAAAGACCGTTGGCTTACCTGAACAGTCGTTCTCAGGGCGCTGCGGGAGAGTCCAAGCATGGGTTAACATAGTCTATCTGCCCTAGGACTGAGTATCTTTTTTCCCCTTTGACCACGCCTCCTTTGCCTCTACAATCTCAGATTAAAAATGAAGAAGACTCCGTTTAGGACCGCCTCCACTGTTCCTCAAAGTCATCACCGGAGGCAATAAAATCCTGGGCAGATTTGGACTCTCCCGCAGCGCCCAGAGAACGACCATTCAGGTAAGCCAATGGTCTTTCTCCTGAGCACTGCTTGGAGAGTCCAGGCATGGGACATACCCAAGCTATGATGTCCCAGGGCGGGAAGAATTCGTAGAGTCCAGAGCCTCTGCAACCTTTTGTAAAATTCTTCACCCCAAAGAGGCTTCGGCTGAGGCAAGGGTGTCTATTTTGTAATTGTGAATGAATGCTGTGGGGGACATCCACGTGGCTGCCCGACAAATGTCAATGATGGACGCCTGGGTCGCCCATGCTGCAGACGTGGCCGCACTTCTTGTGGAGTGAGCCACCCACGGCACGGCTTTGCCGTGAAGTTCATACGCCAGTTTAATGCCGGTTTGCAGCCAATGTCCAATGGTATGTGACGAAGCTTTTCGCCCTTGCGACCCAGGATGGAACGAGACAAAAAATGACTCAGATCGTCGGAACTCTTTGGTTCTTCTAATATAGATGGGCAGAGCACGTCTCATGTCTAACTTGTGCCAGTCCCTTTCCTGGGGATGCGTTGGTTTTGGACAGAAGTTGGGAAGAATCATCTCCTGCGATCTGTGACACAGGGTGTTCACTTTAGGAATGAAGTTGGGGTTGAGACGTAGGATGACCCTATACGGATGGACGATACATAGGTCCTCCCTGACCGATAGAGCCGCTAACTCTGATATTTTCCTGGCCGAGGTGATAGCAACCATAAAGGCTATATTAATAGTTAGGTGTCGAAGAGATGCGGTTCGAAGCGGCTCAAACGGGACTCCCATCAAGGCCCTAAGAACGAACGGCAAGTTCCAAGACGGATATCAGTGTACTGTAGGAGGTCTGATGTTCGAAGCATCCTTCAGGAAGCTTTTAACCAGAGGGTGTTGGCTCAAGATGCGGGAGGAACCTCTGGAGAGAATGGTATACAAAGCCGCTACCTGTCAGCGCAGGGTGTTGGGGGCCAAGCCCTTTTCCAACCCCTCTTGTAGAAAGTCTAGTAACTGAGCAATAGAGACTTCTGTGTCCTGCAATCCTTTGCCTTGGCACCAGGTGGAGTACACCCTCCAAGTGGCCTCATATATTCTGGTTGTTGAAGGTCTCCTGGACGCCTGAATGGTTTGAATGACCTTGTCAGAAAACTTCTGTTCCCTCAGGAGGTCCCCCTCAAGTGCCAGATAACTTTGGAAGAGGCTAATTCTAATTTGACCTCCAATATCCAAGCATTACAACAAGAGATTAGAGATACTCAAACACAACTTATAATGATAAATTATAACAGAAAAGCGTGTGCAATAAGAGTCAGAGGACTGCCCGAAAAGAAAGGAGAGAACTTGAAACAGACGTTTGTAGAAGCTTTCAGCCAAGTGGTGGGAGGTCCGGGATTCAATTTTGATTGGAATATTCGAAAAATCTATCGCCAGAATTCGTGTGTAGCAGAACAACGACAGCTTCCAAGAGACATAATTATATACTTTTTCACAAGAGAATCCAGAAATG